ACATATAAATGTGCACAAATATTGTATATGGGAAAATAAAAATTAAATGAAAATAATTTGACTGTGCATGGTGGGTGGTGTGCTTCTGTGATACTGTTTTTCTCCGATGATCCCAACACTCAGGAGACAGAAGCAAGAATGTTGCAAGTTTACAGCCAGCCTATGAGATAGAGCATGACCCTGTCTCAAAAAATAAAATAGCAACATATATAAATAAAAAATAGCAAGCATTAAATACAGCCATCCTAGACTAGAGCATAGAAAGAGGTCTACAATTTCCTTTTTTTTTATGCTTCTGATAGAAAAGGAGAAGACATTTGACATGGAGACAATCTTTTATCCATAATGAAAGTCTTGCTTAATATGCAAAACCTTTCAATTTCTTCTGAGCCATCTACATGAACAATGGGCTGGGCCCAAGTGAGGATGATGGAGTTTTTTGAGCAACCTTTGGCTTTGCATGGCATGCTGTGGAAAGATGAGTAAGCGCCAGTATTTCAGATGGCAGCCACTCCTTTATTAGGCAGTAAATATGAGTGACTGGTCACAGGTTGTTCCTGGACTACAAGTTTGCTCTTGTAATATTTAACAGGCCCAGGACATACTTTGTACTCTTTACTGATCTTCTACCTGCCGACAGTGAAGTGACAGTGTTTCACCAAAGCAGTACATACTCTTCCTATTTCACATGGATATTGTTTCAGAAAAGGTCAAATGATTCAAAATCCCCTGCATTTTGCAAAGAAACAGAGGTGTGAATACAAATGATTGATTGTCAGAATCACTAAACACAGCTTTGGAAGTGAAGCCTTCCCATAAAGCCAGCTGAGAATTTTCTACCCTTGTGCATGATTTGAACCTCCTGACCTGGTAAATTGCACTCTTCTCCCACAGTCTGCAGTGGGCTGCAGCTAATATGCCAGGCAGCATTCTGCAGCCCTCTACTAATGGCCTTGAAAGGGAGAAGGTTCAAAGAGGCTTAGTTCCCAGGCCTGCTAATGAGCATGAGGCCTCTTCACCCTAATGAACTGGTGCTTGTGTGGGATTCTTTGCCTTCTCTTTTTGAAGGGAAGGGGGGCAGGAGTTCACAAAAGCAGTGAGGTATTTATGGGAAGGGGTGCATTGAGCTGGGCCACCCGAAGGTGGCCTGGAGGGGAGCAACAAAGCTGGCAGAGGTCATGCCTGGGCCAGCAGGCCTGTGAGTATGAGACAAGACCTCCTGCCAGCCAGGCCTGTTGCTGGCAACAGTGACAAGCCCGAGATAGGATATTTTAGGCCAAGTGTGGCTGTACAGGGTTCCTCAGCAGCCTTTACATAGTCTTTCCAAATTGTTTTCTAAACCGTAATTGTCATTATTAGAACTTAACAAAATGTAAGTAATAATATTAGTCATTGGTATTGCAGCCTTCAAGAAGGCGCCCAGATAGATCTCTCTCTATTTCTCTCTGCCTCCCATATTTATTGCATTAAATAATAGAAGAGTAATGAACATATGCCAAACTACTGCCTCTACTGTCATCATCTTTGTGCAAACCCATGCTTTTTTTTCTCAAGAATGTCTTGGAAAATGATGTCCTGAATTTAAACATTATTTCTCCAAAATGCATACATTTGAGTTCATATATACCTAATTCTCATATCTATAGTAAGTATGCCTGTACAGTTGAAAATCCTGACTTGATATTGCAAACTGATAGTCCTTAAAATGCATATACGTTAACATGTAAGTTCAAAAATTCAAAGTTGTACATGAGCATAATTCATTAGCAGGAGTTTCTTCCTTTTAACTTTAACCAAAGGTAAATCTTTGCTGTGACATACAATTATTCTGATCATACAACAATTATAGAAATTATAGTTTCAATTACTTTTCAGGTTGGAGTTATATCATTTAAAAGGTAAAACTGTGAAAGACCATAAAAAAACCAATAAGGAGTAAAAATGAAAGCTGTCACTTTCAACAATGCTAGGTTCTTGTTTTTGTTTTCATTTGCTCCCAGTCAAGAAAGGCATTTGGAACCCACCCTTATTTTCCCTTCCATGACCTGTGTTTGGAATTATTCTGAGATGCATTCAAAGCTGACAGCCCCCCTGGCTGATCCCTCATGTTTAATCCAATCTTACTTTCTGTTTCCAGATAGCTGATCAGCTTCCTTGGATTTTGCTGATGACCCCGGAGAGGTTTGCCTGAAGATGGAAACACTGGAGTCGGAGCTGACCTGCCCTATTTGTCTGGAGCTCTTTGAGGACCCTCTTCTGCTTCCCTGCGCACATAGCCTCTGTTTCAACTGCGCCCACCGCATCCTGGTCTCTCACTGTGCTACCAACGAGCCTGTGGAGTCCATCAGTGCCTTCCAGTGCCCCACCTGCCGGCATGTCATCACGCTCAGCCAGCGAGGTCTAGACGGGCTCAAGCGCAACGTCACCCTACAGAATATCATTGATAGGTTTCAGAAAGCATCTGTGAGCGGGCCCAATTCCCCTAGTGAGACCCGCAGGGAGCGGGCCTTTGACGCCAACACCATGTCCTCTGCCGAGAAGGTTCTCTGCCAGTTCTGTGACCAGGATCCTGCCCAGGATGCTGTGAAGACCTGTGTCACTTGCGAAGTGTCCTACTGTGATGAGTGCCTGAAAGCCACTCACCCGAACAAGAAGCCCTTTACAGGCCATCGTCTGATTGAGCCAATCCCGGACTCGCACATCCGGGGGCTGATGTGCCTGGAGCACGAGGATGAGAAGGTGAATATGTACTGTGTGACCGATGACCAGTTAATCTGTGCCTTGTGTAAACTGGTTGGGCGGCACCGCGATCATCAGGTGGCAGCTTTGAGTGAGCGCTATGACAAATTGAAGGTTAGTCCGATCTGCCTTAAGCCAACCCCTTTCTGCCAGCAAATGTCATGGAAATAAGAAGTGTATTCACTGCTAGCTACATGGCGGGTGAAGGTTTTCTCTTCACCTTTGTTGTCTGATTAGTTGTAGCATGTTTTTGGCAGCCTATAAATGTTACACAATGAGGGTATCTTGTAAAAGTTGACTGCTGCTTGTAATTTTAGTGTTGTCAAGGTGAGGGTAAATTCTAAAAGTCTGGATCATTTTCAACCCTTGCTGTTTGTCTGGATCATTTTCAATGTCTGCAGTTCTTGCAAAGACAGAGCAGAGAGAAAAAGATGGGGGAGGAAAGAAGAGAGAAAGGGGAGATGTAAGTTAAAAATCTATCTTGTGAGTATTTATGGAAATGTATTTTCTTCACTCATCCAGGAAAACTAATTTACTCACATTGTACCTTTATCTAGTTACTACACAAACAAAAGACTAGAAGGAAGAATGTCTGTAGCCAATGGGGGATTTTATAGGATATGTGGTCTTGTGTAAATGATATCAGGCTTGCTGCTGAACTACCATGTTCTGACAGTCTCAAGTTTCAGGAGAGCATTCCTGTCGGTATAGGCTTCTTTTATTCAGTGACTTTACAGGCAAGATGGTCTGAACTTAACTCACTTCTGGTATGAAATTATCCACATTCCAGCTTGGAGGACAGTAATTAATATGGTTACATGTTAACTTAAAAAAATCACTCTCAAAATAAGGTTAGAAAGCATCAGGGAAGAAATAAAAAACCCATTTCCCGTTGTCTGTTGTCTGTTCAGCTTCAGTTGACGGTGGGCCTAATTACTGCAAACTCAGCTGAGAGAGTTCGAATGAAGTATTATGTTCATCGGCTAATTTCAGATCACAAGACACTAATTAAAAGGAAGGGAAGTATAATTTAAAAGCGCTAAGTAAATATATGCTGAAATCCTTCCTCTCAGGAAAACATAGCAACTTGTTGAGTAAACAAAATGAATCAGATGATCCAAAGAGGAGTATTGCTCAGAGACTATCATCACCTTTAACAAATGGTTCCTATCCCATCTCCTAATGCTAATGAGTGGTTCTATTTACTTGGGCTACATAGTTGATTTTGCAATGATGAGGATTAACGAACCACATCTGGGATTGGACTTTGTGATTTCTTGACACACTGAGGCAAGTTGACAGGCTAACGTGAATCCCTGCTTCTAAATGTCACCGGGGAAGCAAATGTAGTTCTTGTACATCAGGCCTCACTTCAAGTGTCGAAGAAGTGAGTGGCTGTAATCCATCTTTTCACCATGTACAGGGAGTTTGCCACAGGAATTTAGGTACCATAGGCAGGAGATGATAGATACCCATTCGGTTTCACTGCATTGCACAGCGGTAGCAGACAGAAATATCACCAAAGTGGATAACAGTAAAGGAATGTGCATGAAATTATGACTAAGTCAATTTTTCAAAATTCCAGATGGCTGTCAGTTTTAAAATCCCAGATGATCTCGTTTTAACCTTTCTTGTCCTTGGTGGGTAAAGAACTTCGGGATGATTGAACAGAGATTTTTGATCTTCCTTTCCTTCTTGTCCTTTATCAAGAAAATGTTCTTTTGATTAGATTAAGGATTGTTTGTTAGAACAATATCATCATAACGAGCTTGCATATTCAACAACTCCCAGGCTTGCTAGTTACATTTGGTAATCAAGTTCTGCACATTTTCTGTGTGCTCTCACAGCAAAGTTATTAATTATTTACCTTGCATCTTCAAATTTATGAGAAGTCATTTCAATGTAGCCCTTTCTGTGATGAAAACGCAAATCTTCAGCCCAGTACATTTGTCTAATCAAGCCAATGAATTATCAGTCATTGATATTGTCACAGGGAGGGCCTCACAATTAACCATGCTGTATATTTTATTGTCTAATTACAGAAATATGGGCATATAAACAACATCCAGTGCACAGAAACACATGTGCAGCTATTCAACAAAATATGTTTATGAGCAATTATTTACAGCTATTCCATGAAATGTTCTTTTAAGTGTTTGAGTGGATAACATACCAACAGAGCATGTTTGTTCAAAGACATGCCACTCATGTCACAATAAAATATCAAAAGTATATAGGACATTTGGGAGGTGATGAGATCTCATTCATCACAGACTGATGAACACAAGTACTTCCTTGTTTTGCTTAAAGCCTAGTACAATATAAATGCTGATTTTTAAAAAAGAAATTAATAGCATAATGAATAGACTCACACCAAGGAATTGTATGTTTTTATTAATTATTACAGTGGTCTGGAAAACTAAATGGTGCTCCATGGGATTTCATATTGATACATATTTATGCTGATATGATTGTGAAGAATAATTGTTTCCTCTGGTAACATAAATTTGGAGGACTGTTTTTTAATTACAGCATATTTCAGTATAAAAGAGGTATGGTTTTTAAAGAAGTGAAATATAGCTGTGGATGATGCTGCATGCCTTTAATTCCAACATTTGGGATGCAGAGGCAGGTGGATCTCTATGAATTTAAGGCCTGCCTGGTTTTCATAGTGAGATTCAGGCCAGTCAAGGATATATATTGAGACACCATCTTTTTTCCCCTCATGTCAAACTGCTTTATTACATCTTAAATAACAGTACAGTTTAATATAGCATCTATCTTGCATCCAGCCTCCTTGCAGTACACTGACTTTAAAACTAAACATAAAAGGTGAAAAGGGGTATAGGGTGCAGAGAGCTCTACAGAGTTGTCTGGTAGGACGAGAAGAGGCTTGGCTATGTTCTCTTTGCCAGGTCCAGGCCTCCTGTAGTCACAGAAGTTTTGTACAGGACACTGCAGAAAATGGAATGGCAAAGCCACTACTACTATGGGGAGTACAGGATACAGGGCGATGGGGGAGCCCACAGAACACTGCTGTCCAAACCCCGCTGCTGAACATGGCTTGAGATGCAAGGTGTAAAAATTGTTGAGACACCATCTTAAACAATAAAACCAGAAATGAAACATGGCTATGTACACTGACATTTTAGTCTGAAGCGTAAAAGATAAAACAACATAGCATTTCAACATGTAGAATTCATGTATGTAAAATCTTCCACATCTCTGTAGAGAGACCCTGTCTCAGAACCAAAAAAAAGTTAAAATATTTTCCATGTTGTCTGAAAGTGTCATATCAGTAACCTGCTGCTTTCAGAGACTATGCATGAGAAACACTCAAGAAATAGTGAAGCAATGAGAAAATTAAACTCACATGCCCTGAACTCTATTTTTTAAGGTAACAAGAGAAGTCTTTGTGTCAGATGCAGTCTCTAAATGAGGCACATCAAAACATGGACATTTTAAAACATCATTTTAATTGAATCTTAAGAAGCCCTCCAGTACTACAAACTCTGGCGAAAGACTCATTTTGTGAACCATATAACTGACATGTAAGAGAGTTTAATAATGCATTGTAGAGTTTCCAGGAGATTACAGTGTAGTAACTCCCCGCTTACTGTGCTCACATATCATATACTGGACCTCTTGTTTCTTTACTCTAGTTGTGCCTATAAAAATAGGCCAGAAGAGAAAAATTGACCTTTCACTGTCCTTCACTGACTCTTACAAACAAGCTAAAACTGAAGTTCAAGATCGCTTTTGCTATGCTTACTTTAAAGGCTGATGGTGGGTATTTCTTCATGCAGCATAGCTTTGTACGAATCAACCCACCGAGATTTTCAAATTATTCCTCCTAAAATTTCAGTTAAAGCTCAAATTTCTTTATGTATCACTTTGCATATGGAGGTAGAGATAGTAGATTTTAGTCTTATGTTTAATATTTTCTTGAGATGGGGTCTCACTGTATAGCCTTAACTTGTATGATACTCATTATATAGCCCAGGCTGGCCTTGAGTTCTCAGCAGTCCTCCTGCCTCAGCAATATAAGAGTATAGTATCATGCCCAGATGAGGTTCTATAGTTTTAAAGTCTTTCACCATTTACAATAATGATGTGAGAGGATACTGAGCCTGAGATTGTTTTCCTTTTTCTTAGAATTTCTATAATGTGTTTCTACTATAAAATTAGAAATAGAGCTGGACCTGGTGGCACAGGACTATAATCCTAGTTACTCTAGAGGTTGAGGTGGGAGGATAGTAAGAGTTCAGTGCCAGCTGGGGCAACATAATGTATGACATTCTCTTTCAAAATAAGAACTAAAAGAAAGGACTGGAGCTACTGTTGACTGGGAGAGAGCTTGCCTAAAATGTGAGATGCTTTGGACTCAAATGTTGTTACCACCAAAAATCCTAATTATGTATAATGCAGGCCACAGGCCTTTTTTTTCTTGTGTGTGTGTGTGTGTGTGTGTGTGTGTGTGTGTGTGTGATATAGGGTCTCATTGTATATCTATATGCATACATGAATTTTTTATTTTCATATTAGAGTTTCCATAATTCTCAATTATATGTAGTTAAGTTGTTTCCAGTATTCCCTTTAAGACAGACAATCATCAGCATTAACCATAACAATGTTAACTGTGTTCCTAGAATCTTAATACTTTAACTATTCTCTTATTACCTTTAATATTTTAACCATCACTATTATTACCTTAAATATTTTAACTATATCTTGAATAGTTGGTACACCAATGGATGTAATTACTAGATTTTGTGGAGTCATTGAAGTTCATATATATATATATATATAGTATTGCTTACTAAACATTAGAATATTTGTTCTTTGTATCTTAAATTTCTTATAGACTCAACAATTGGTCTATTCTGCTTAATCAATCAAGCAGTGACTAAGAGAAGTACACTTAAACTTTCCACTGAAAAAAGTGAACTTCTTAAGTTCTTTTCATACTAGTGTCATTTTTCTTGTTTCAAGACTTCTGATGCTATGTTATTAATAATATACAAGATTATAGACCTTTTGAGAAGTAATGGATAATTAAATTAATGTACATTTATTCAGTGAAGGTAATATGTACAGAAACAGTCACCATCTTC